CCTACTTTCAGGGCCACAGCCTCTGCACGGTGACCTCCCCACAGGGGTAGGAGCAAAGGCACTGCTGCATCACAGCAAGGCTCTTCCTGCCAGAAAATGCAGCGCTTTGCAGCCGGGTCTGTCAAGATTTTTGAGGGAAATACGATGTGATGAACCTTGCTGAGCCCCCCGATCAGAGCACAAATGCTGCAGACCGGCTTCTACACCAGGCAGTGAGCTTTTCCCCCTGCCCTCTGCCCCCTGCAGCCTCAGGCTTTTGGGTGTCAGTAGTTGACAGCTTTAATCTGCGACTCCTTTTGTGTGCAGACCTGTGAGGAACCTGCAGACGCAGCTACAGTGCAGGACCCCCTTACACATGCTCACTCAATTTGGCTCTGCACCGACGTGCGCTTGAGGAGCATGTTTAAACATTCAGTATGTACAAGATGATTTGAAGCTGGAACATAAGAGCAGCTGGATTCACCCTCACACATCCACATGGCTGAGAGCAACCAGAGGGACCTGCGTGGTCCCGCAGTGGCTGAGGAGACCACCTGGGTGTATGTACATGTCCTCGGAAACATTCACCAGGCTGGCTGGGGGCGTCTCTGCTCTGCCAATAGACTGAGCCACAAGAACAGCAGAGAATGCAGCTTCTCCCGACCTACTTCACCACCTTTCTCCAGCTTCACACAGAGCCCCTGATTTCAAATGACTGCTGAGATAACACGTTTATGCACATGCTCTAGTCAAAAGCAGCACAGAAAGCTGCTGTTCTGGTGCCTATTTCCACAGCATCCACAACTCTCAAGAACAGTCACTGCAAATCACTTGGGACTCTTCCTCCAGCCGAGACATTTCAGGATGTTCTTCTTTGTAAGTTCCCTCCAGATCACTTCTCCCGAAGGACGCAGACTCCAGCGTCACAGCGCTGCATCCCCAGGGAGGTTACCACTTCCCAGTTGTCAATGATGGGATCGTAGCACTCAATGCTGCTCAGCAGTGAGTTGCCATCATATCTGCAACGACAGAAAGTTACAGGTGAGGAAGAGGTTGAGGCGTTCAGAGCCCTTCCTAGGAGGCTGGACCACTGTGTATAGTAGGAGTGGCCTGAAATAAAACCACTGCATTAGGCTCCCTGTTGCTCTCTGCTGCTGCTCTCCTGCCCGTCTTGGCCCTGGACCATCACGCTGCCTATCCAGGTTGGGCACGGTGGCTCCGTGAGCTGTCTCCTCTCATAAAGCTTGAAACATAAATGTGAGAAGAGGCCACCTGAAACAAGGCAGCAGGCTGCGTCACCTTAAATCCCTTGTTCCAGCAGACAGACACGCAGGGCATCTCCCGCTCCAGCCCGGGGCAGCCGCTTACCCAGCGATTGCGTACAGCCTTCCCCGCAGCACGGTGGCCCCCACGTAGCAGCGGGGGGTTGTCATGCTCGTTACAGTTGTCCAGGAATCAGTGCGAATATTATAGGCTTCCACGGAGGAGAGGTGTGCTGTCCCATCGAAGCCACCAACCACATAAATATGGTCATTCAGCAGAGCCACTCCAGCCCCTGCAGAGGGAGAAGGCGGCACAGTTACACCCATGAGCGACACCGACAGCACCGTGCCCGGGCTCACTCTTCCAAGGCTGAACTAGGTCAGTTGCTCCCCCCTCAGAGGGCATTTTCTTAGGCCTGTATCTCCCAGAAAAGAGCTGCCATAACCCCGTGTCTGCGGTTGTTGTTGTCTCCAATACCATACATGAAACCCTGTAACTCCACCGAATGCTGCTCAACCTCTGGCACAAGGGGCACTGAGCAGCCCTGCAGCCAGGGCGGCAGCAGCAACGCGAGACATCGACCTTGGCTGAAAGACAGCCCGACCCCCTGAGCAGACCAGCCCAAGGCTCGCTCTGCGGGCCGGTAGCCGGCTGGGACTCTGTCACCACACGGACCGGCTTCTCTGGTGCTTCTGGCTCCCCGGTGTCACCCAGCCCCTGGCTGTTACAAGGAGAATGATGCTGCTCCAAGTGAAGCTGGAGGAGGGATTTCTTTGACATTGCTCCTCTGGGAGGCAGGGAAATAAAAACTCGTGTCCACTGCACAGTCACAGAGGCACGAGTGGCCGAAGTGTCCGTCTGAACAGCTTGTTCTCACCTGCCCCAGTAAAAGCCATCAATAACACACTTGGCCAACTGGGAATTTATGACAACAGCAGAAAATAAACCTCTGCCAGCCTGTGTTCTCACCTGCAGCCCCCTTCAGGTAAAGCACCAAAGAATGCAGTAAGGTAACAACGCACTTCGTGGCCTTAGGTGCTCTTGCCAACAGCCGCTGCTGTTTCGAGCTGCATCTCGAAAGCAGAATAAACCCTGTCAGGCTGTTAACATCAACACATTGCACTGATCAATGTCTCAAAGGAATCAAGCCAGCTATCCCGCAGCTCTTGGGCACAGATCTGTTTCTTCTACAAACATGGTGTAAGGGACTTTCTGTTCCACTAAAACGCAACCCACGTGCACCATCTGTCCTTGCTGGGTGCACCAAAACAGCTGGGAATGGTCAGGCTGCCCCTAAGGCCTCTCTGATAGCTTCAGTGAGGAAGATTTTGGCTGAGAAGAGAGACCAGACCAAGGCCTAATCAGGGAGGTTGGGTCTAGCAATGCAATATGGCCATGGTTTCTGAGGGGGGGCTACCTCCAGAATCTGTCCTAAGAGATGAAGAGAAACAAGGAGGAGGCAATCTCTGTGAATAAAGGCAAGACTACTTTTAGTCCTCGTCTTTCTTAGAATTCAAAGAGTTGTAAGCTGACAGCTCCAGAAAGTGTCAAAGCCTCGGGGCAAAAGAATTCCTACAGGGTCCAACGTCACCAGGATGGATGGACTGGAGCTGATACCAGGATGGAGGCTGCAAGTGCAACTGGTATCTAAGCTACCAGTAGGTCAGGGTGTTAGCATCACAGAGCGGCAGCACAAAAATGTAAGTGTCAGGAATAAATATCAGTATAATCGGGAATATACCAGGAATAAATATCAATATAAGTAACAGGAATAGTGTGGCCAGCAGGAGCAGGGCAGGGACCGTGCCCCTGTGCTGGGCACTGGGGGGGCCGCCCCTCGAATGCTGGGGTCAGGGTTGGGCCCCTCCCTTCCCAAAGGACCTGGCGGGGCTGGAGCATGTCCAGAGAAGGGCAGCGGAGCTGGGGAGGGGGCTGGAGCCCCAGGCGGCGGGGGAAG